CTCTATCAAGTATACATCAAATCATTATTATCCTTATCCTTTTTAAAGCAAAAAATTCTAAAGTATTCAATTCATAGTTAGGATTTTTGTCTCCATGACAGTATCATTTTACATTTGTTTGTGTTGAATCACATGTACTCATTTAATGCTCATTCATTTCCTAGGGAAAGCTTTTTTGAAGTCCCTGGCTCTTGTTTTCCATTTAACCATCCTAGATAATTTGGTATCATTGACAAAACCATCTCAGCATCCAGCATTATTCAATGGTTCTTAAGTTAATCATAACCAAGTGATTAACTTTCAATGATTCCACTCTAAACAGAACTGGTTCTGTTTATTCATACTAGCTAGGTTATATTGGATGATAATGTCTTGCTGTATTGATGCCTTTGTCAATGTACCATGTTGATAGCAAAAGGTCAAATGACCTGTTAAATCCCTACAATTAAACACAGTTTTCATAATTAAAAGCCAACATACTGTAATACATTCTTAAGGTTTTTATTAACAAATGTAACAATTCTGTTTTTAGGAGCTGAAATATATTTTTCATGTAATGATAGTTACTAAGGTGTCCTAATTAGATTAATATAATAGTATAAAAAGACACATATATACACCTTCTTGCATATGCCCTGTATTAAACTAAATTCCACATTGTCATATACTCATAGGAGCATTATTTCAGCAACTTTGTCAATAAACAGATTTATAACTATTTATTCAAAATCGCTTTCACTGAATAAGATTTAAAATATGGTCTACAATTTAATTATTAAGCAAGCTCTTACTTGTCACTGCCTTTCACCATCTTCAATTACATTCAGTGGTTCAAATAAATAAGCTAAAATAAAAGCAAGAGAAAAAGAAAAATCCATTCTTCTCTTTCCAAATAAACCATAAAAATAATTAGAAGAGGTACATCCATATGCAGAAGTAAAAGAAGTGTTTAATTTTGCAGCTATATAGGAGTTGCTGTTTGTATTAGTATAAATTTGCTTATTCATTCCAGGTATTTTGAATAATTACAGAAATATATATAATAATAAACATTTGTTCTTATTTGTAGCACATAATTGTTTTCCCACATGCCATCTAGGAATCTAGACAATGATCCTGCAAAGAAATTTTACTAATCATTTAGATTTCCTACAAGTTCTTTGTCTACCGTAACTGTGAATGATTAGAAAACAGAAGCAAAAAGATGGAGTACAGAAAACTTATTACTGCTATACTATCATCTGGATTTTTGATGTTTCAAAAGTTTTATTTTCTTTTAAAACAAACATTTCATCATTCCTCAATCAGTGAGACATCGGAGTACAATTTTTTTGTGTGTCAAAATAGTTCTAGTTTACCACCAAATTTTTGTCTAGCCTAATGTATACCCCTCTCTCCCTCCCCCCTCCCCCCCAACC